GATTGGCTTATCATTGTCCTTTCCTGTAGTATCCATGTCTTGTTGTGATGTTAAGAGTATTAAGATTCATGACTGTGTGTGTTTATGAAAGAAATACACTAACGATTAACAGTGATTAATTGAATTAAAGGTGATTTTGTTTTCTTTATAATTTTCTGCATTTGCTACTTTTGCGCAATGAGAAAGGATTATATTTGATCACACATTATTCATGCAAACACATAATCACAGACACACACATAGAGCCTACTGCAGGGTTTGACAGTTGGTGCCAAAACACTGGATTGTCTATGTTTTGTTCTGAATTTTATGGTGCTCCCTGAGCACCTAGAAAAAAGAGTGGTAGGCAAAGTCCTTTAGGAATCCTCAGAACTAACATGGAATGTTAAGATGTACTACAAAGAAATTCAGGGGACTTGGAAGCCCAGGTTTACATATGTAGCAACAATTTTTAATTTTCTCACTTGCATAATAAGGAAAATAATTCACACTCATGCTTACCTCATAAAGTTATTGGTATTCTGTAAGTATTGTGAATGTGAAAGTGCTTTATAATTTTCTTTACCCACATCATATGCATGAATATGTACATCTGTACTTTGTGTGTATAGATTCAAAAGAAAATAATTAAAGCTTGATAAGGCTTTATTCAGCTGATTCCTTGATTCAGGGAGCAGTTGAGGATCTAGGGACTCCCCACAGAAAGTTTTACAGGATAGAAGTTGAGGCCCTGTCCTTGCCATTTTGCTTTAGGTAGCAGCTTGTAACTATAACTGAAACCCATAGTTGAGAGTCATTCCTATTTTAGGTTCTATACTTGATGACTACCAGAAAAGTATTCTCCAAGAACTGTTAATTCAAGTTTGCAGTTTATTGCCTATTCCAAGTTCATGAGCTAGAAGAGGTATTTGGGAAAAAGAAAGAACAGGGTGAAGGTAGAAGTGAAGAAGATACTAGGAGCTCTCTATTATGTATGTTTTAGTGCTTTTTCAATAGGCATAGGTAGATATAGATTGACAGACAAACCAGTGTTCACTACCTTCCTCCCTTCATATGTACACCCTCCTCACTGCCCCCAGCACACATATATCTCACTATGACTACTTGAGGGAAGAAAAGATGCTTCTGGATAGCATTACATGTAATGGAAAAATGAACAACTACCAAGCCCCCACCCTCAAATGATAGAGTCTTAACTGATCTTAAAAAAGCAGGCAGTAGGGGTCTGGGGAGAGATACAAATTGTGAGGATTGAAATTTAGAGAATTTTGAGGTATGGAAAGTGAAGAATGGAAAAATAAAGTTGTGGGGTAACAGCTATCATTCCTGTGAATAATACTGAGAAGACAGAGATGGAGAGAATTATAAAAATGGTTTTCAGTGCATAAAGGTCCAATGAACTAAAAAAAGATGTGAGGTGTTTTAAGTTCCTTTTTGTCCACTCATTTAGAACAAGTTGTTTCTTTTAGTTTAACACCATCTGGAGAGTGGAGTACATGGGGTCAAAGATAAATTTAGGTTACTGATAATTTTTTTTTTCTTTTAGGGGAAGCCAAATTGGAAAATAAGAAGTAAAATCATCACTGTTTGCAGATGACATAACACTGTACACAGAAAATCCTAAAGATGCTACCAGAAACTTACTAAAGCTCATTAATGAATCTGATAAAGTGGCAGGATACAAAATTAATACACAGAAATCCCTTGCATTCCTACACACTAATAACAAATGATCAAAAAGAGGAATTAAGAGGAATTAAGAAAGCAATCTGATTTACCATCACAGTAAAAAGAATAAAGTGCCTAGGAATAAACCTACTCAAGGAGGCAAAAAACCTGTATGCAGAAAACAAATATTGATGAAAGAAATCAAAGATGACATAAACAGATGGAGAGGTATACCATGTTCTTGAATTAGGAGAATCGATATTGTGAAAATTATATACTACCCAAAGCAATCTACAGATTCAATTTACCAATGGTATTTCTCACACAAAACTAGTATTTTATAGTTTGTAAGAAAGAGTCTCTTCAATAATTGGTGCTAGGGAAACTGGACAGTTACATGTACAAGAACGAAATTAGGACACTCTCTCACACTATACACAAAAACAAACTCAAAATGGATCAAAGACCTAAATGTAAGGCTAGACTCTATAAAATCCTTAGAGGAAAATATAAGCAAAGCACTCTTTGAGATAAATTGCAGCAAGATCTCTTTTGACACATTTCCTAGAGTAATGACAATAAAAACAAAGACAAACACATTGGACCTAATTAAACTTAAAAGCTTTTGCATAGCAAAGGAAATCATTAACAAGACAAAAGACAACTCTCAGGATGAGGTGAAATATTTGCAAACAAGCAACTGACAAGGGATTAAGCTCCAAAATATATAAATTGATACAGCCACTATGGAAAACAATATGGACGTTTCTTTAAAAACTAAAAATAGAGCTACCATATAACCCAGCAATTCCACTTCTAGGCATATAACTGGAGAAAATCATAATTTGAAAAGATGCACATATCTCAATATTCTTTGCAGTAATATTCACAATACCCAGGACATGGAATTAATCTAAATATCCATCAGCAGAGGAATGGATAAAGAAGACGTGGTACATATATTCAGTGGAATAGTACTCAGTCATAAAAAGGAACAAAATAGTGCCATTTGCAGAGATATGGATAGACCTAGAGACTGTCATACAGAGTGAAGCAAGTCAGAAAGAGAAACATATTCTACAATATTGCTTATATGTGGAATCTAGAAAAAATAGTACAGATGAACTTATTGGCAGAGAAGAAATAGAGTCACAGATGTAGGAAACAGACTTGTGGTTGCCAAAAGGAGAAGGGGAAGTGTTATTTGGCTGCAAATACAAGACAAGAATTTTATCCTGAATTCCCACCAGTTCTGCACGAATCCTCCCTTGTGGTCCAAAGCTCATCAAAATAATTCTTAATCAGATTTGTTAACATCACTACGTGCTCAAGGGCTCTCCCCTATATTCTCTGCTCTTACTGTTGTTGTTCAGTTGCTAAGTCATCTCTGACTCTTTGCGACCCCATGGACTGTAGCACACCAGGCTTTTCTGTCTTTCACCATCTCCTGGAATTTTCTCAAACTCATGTCCATTGAAATGGTGGTGCCATCCAACCATCTCATCCTCTGTCATCTCCCCTTGTCCTGCCTTCAATCTTTCCCAGCACCAGGGTCTTTTCCAATGAGTCAGCTCTTTGCATCAGGTGGCCAAGGTATTAGAGCTTCAATTTCAGCATCAGTCCTTCCAATGTATATTCAGGACTGATTTCCTTTAGGATTGACTGGTTTGATCTCCTTGCTGTCCAAGGGACTCTCAAGAGTCTTCTACAGCACCATAGTACTATTCCTCTCTGTACAGAATAAAATATATCTAACTTACAAATGCTTGGAGAAGGTGAGAAAGAGCTGCAGAGGACATGGTCTGGGAATGCTGAGCAAAGACCAGGTGGGATGGTGCAGCTTCTGTTAATATCCTGTCAACACAATTGTGGTACACACCATTCTAGCGCATACCCACAACTTCCTACTACAAGCTTGCAACTGTGGTTGTTCAGTTGCTATCTTGTGTCTGATTCTTTGGCTTTCCCATGAGGACTTTCTCTTAGCCTCCTTTGGGGATGCCAGAAGAGTTGGGTATTTAATGCATCTGGGAAGAGCCCAGATGCCTGTCAATATGGGTGAGGTTGACAGGTGAATACCCCAGCTTCCTTGTTCTTTATTGGGGTGGGGATTTTTGCTTCTGAGAGCAGCCATCCTGAGACAGGTAGGTATGGAAGGCATTTGAAAAAGAAGTAAAGTTATCAAATAGGTACCTATTGTACCACCTATTGTGGGGCAGGAATAGGTAGATGAAGATATAGAGCATGGACATGTGGACACAGGGGGAAAAGGATGAGCTGGGAGATTAGGGTTGACATGTATACACCACTGTGTGTAAAATAGATAGCTAGTGGGAATCTGTTGTATATCACAGGGGGCTCAGCTCCATGCTCAGTGTTGACCTAGAGGGGTGGGATGGGAGGGAGGTCCAAGATGGAGGAGCTGGTTCACTTCCTTGTACTGCAAGGAATAGCACAATGTCAAGCAGTAATACCTAATGACAAAAAAAAAAAAAAAAAGGCATCTACTTCTTTATTGTGTTTCTCTTCAGATCTTCCCTTTCTCCCATATTCCTTTTCCATGGTGAGGTGTTGCAAGCACAGCACTGCTGTCCTGTGGAAGCAAGTTAAAAAAAAAAACAACAATAATTGCATGATGGGCATTTAATGGATGAGATGTCAGGTTTAAAAAGACAAAGTCTTGGAGGGAAGTCTGTGCTTTCTACAGCACTCTGAGAATAAAAATCCATTTCTGATTGATTTCTTTCTTAACAGTCTACCCTCTCCCCCTCCTTCCACCCCACTCCCCAGTTAAATGCTCTGGGCAGCTATCTACCTCATGTTTCGGGCAATGTGCCTTTGACCTGGTATTGTCTTCCAGAAATCTTGACAGGCGAAGTCTTTTTAAAGACTTTGTGTCATATCAGCACTATATTTAGTGTTCCAATAGTTTGTCAGAGATTCTTTTACTAGGGTATTGAAGACAGCAGTTAGAAAATGAATAATTAGAAGGCTGCCCATGACAGTTAATGTCCAATACTTTGAGATCCCAGAGATACTAATAGTAAAGAACGATTTCTAATAATTACTGGAAATTATGTGGCTAGTAGAATGCTGTTACATGTATGATGATAAATAATGTTATTTTGAATCTCACTGATTTTGGGGGTGTGAAATTTTTTGGAGCTACCTTAGGCCCAAATTTACCTTCCTTGAATTTTCTAAAAAAATTTTTAAAGGGGACTATACACACCTGGATTTCAGGGAGCATAATCCATCATTTCCTCTGAGTCCAGGTGGAATTTAAAAGTGGTACCATAATAGTCATTTTCTGAGGATATCCACAAGTTCTCCAGCACTGCCTTTTCTCTACCAGCCCCAGCATCATCACCCGTATTCTTCATTTCTGTATCTTTCTCCTCCTTTGAGTAATGGGCTTTTCTAAAGAAATGGCTACATCTTTAGATTTGAGACAACAATAGCTAGTTCAGCTTAGTCAATGATTGCTGAATTTTCAAGTTTTTCATGCTCTCATATGAAAGCAAATAATTGATACTAAATGATTTTGACCTTTTCATAAAAGCAAGTGGTTATAGATCTCGGCCTTTCCAAACTTTCTTCATTTTTCCTTTGTGCACTTGTTCTAAGAAACTTGCAGCACTTCAGTTCTTAGTAATTATTCTATAATTTGGACTTGTCATTATTTCACATTGTCCATCCTCTCTTTTCATATTTAATGGCATTTTACTGCACTTCCAAGGGGGAAAAGAATGTTTGAAAGGCCAAAAAGAATTAAAATGGAGAATAAAGGGATGATTAAAATTATGAGAAGAAGAGAATTTCAAGGACAACATGTTTATGAAAATTTGTATAAATTCAGTATCATTTAGTTAACACAAATTTAAAATTTACTGAGGGATTAATAGGTTAATAATAGTTCTCAACATGCAACTAAAACCCTCAAAAAATGATCATCTTTACATAGCACAATGATTGATGGGGGTAAATTGGATAGGATTTTGGAAATACAGTTTTTAATTAGTATCCATGAGGAATTGCTTACAGAATCAGCTGTGGATATCAAAGTCCTTGGATGCTCAAGCCTTTTAATAAAATGGTGAAGCATTTGCATAGAACCTATGCACATCCTCTTGTATACTTTAAATAACCTCTAGAGTACTTATAACACCTAATACAATGTAATGGGGCTTCTCTGGTGGCTCAGTGCTAAAGAATTCATTTGCCAATGCAGGAAACACGGGTTCAATGCCTGATTCGGGAAGATCTTCCAGAGAAGGAAACAGCAACACACTTCAGTATTCTTACCTGGAAAATCCCATGGACAGAGGAGACTGGTGGGCTATAGTCCATGGAGTTGCAAAAGAGTTGGACATGACTTAGTGAGTAAACAACAATACAATGTAAATAGTTGTAAATAAGTGCATAATAAATTCAAGTTTTGCTTTTTGGAAATTTCTGAAAATTTATTTTTCAAATATTTTCCATTCGAGGTTGGTTGAATGCACAGATGAGAAACCACAGATATGGAGAGTCAACTGTATCATGTTTAAAAAATGATAGTCTATTTGGAAAGATATAGTTTATATATATTTATATGACATAACTGCTTCCCTGATGGCTCAGATGGTAAAGGATCCATCTGCAATACGGGAGACCTAGGTTCAATCGCTGGATTGGGAATATCCCCTAGAGAAGGGAATGACTACCCACTCCAGTATTCTGGTCTGGAGAATTCCATGGACAGAGAGCCTGGCAAGCTACAGTCCATGGGGTTGCAAAGAATTGGACATGACTGAGTGACTTTCACTTTCACTTTTCATATTATAGACTTATGGTAGCCACAAAAACTGGAAACCAAGTGAATGTTCATTCAAAAAAGGAGTGGCAGATTATGCAGTCATTTAAAAAATGGGTCCCATCCGTCCTGGGGAAATTTCTACTATGTGTTTATGATCAAGGGAGAAAAGCAAGATACAAAGTGTATGTAATATGATTCAACTTTTAAAATAGAATGACACACACAAATAAAATATGACATATCTCATCCCCAAATAAAAAACCCATGTGTGTGTGTACGTGTGTGTGAATTTCCACAAAAGTGGAAGGAAGAAAGGAAAGAAGGAAGGTAGGAAGGAAATCAGACTGTTAACATAGTGGGGGAGGGGAGAGAAATACTTAAAAGTAAGTTTCTATATTTAAAAACCATGTGTGCAATGTGATGCCATTCATGGAAAATTCCACACACGTAAAGAGATGGGGAAAGGATCGTCACCAAAATACTAATGACGATTGTCTCAGGGAGTGGGATTGCAGGTGACTTTTATTTTTTTCCTTATTTTTTCTATGTTTTAAGTGTTATATAATGAGTACATATCATTTGCACAGTCAGTGGAAATAGGACTTCCCTGATGGTCTAATGCGTAAGAATGCACTTGCCATTCTTATGGCAATGCAGAGGATGTGGGTTCAGTTCCTGGTCTGGGAAGATCCCCCATGCCGTGGGGCAACTATGCCTGTGAGCCACAGCTACTGAGCCCAAGCCTAGAGCTCATGCTCAGCAACGAAGAACATCCCCTGCTCACCACAACTAGAGGAAGCCCAAGCGCAGCAACGAAGACCCAGCACAGCCAAAAATAAAGAAATAAATTAAAAAATCAGCGGAAAATAAAGTTATTTTAATTGTTGGGTGCAGGGGGACTATGGACAGGTAGACAGTCCCTAGGANTACATGTGTGCATGCCCGTGACTGCATTCCAGAGCCGGGGACTGGAGGCTCAAAGGACACAACTACGGCCTTGTTTAGTTTTGCTGGAGTGAAGGGAGATCCTCATTTAATATGCACTGATTTTTTTCAGGGTACAGCTGACACACACAAGAATCTGTGAATTTCCAAATACTTGTCTTTCAAGGGGTGGAGACTCCTGTATTATCTTCAGTAAGACATGGCTCTGGGGAGTCATGCATGCACCTAAGGACAATCTCTTATTCTGGCTGGAAATGAAACATATCACTGTATATTCGTGGGGACATTGTTCAAGGATCACAGCAAAAAAAGATATTATCTCTCTTGGTATGCGACATATTGCAACAACTCATATAGGATCTTGGGTCTACACTTTCAAAGCTGTATAGCTTCACTCAAAATATTTAATTTTTTAAAATAATTTCCTTATCTGCATAATGGTAATAATATTTATCCAACAGTATTGCTCTAAGTGTTAATTCCAAACATGTATGGAAAGAACCTGGCTCATGATAGGTGCACTAGGAATATTTGTAAGATAAAGGAATAGTATGTGGGTGGCACTCAGTAAATATTATCCCCCCCACCCATCAAGAGATGGTTACTAGGAGGGAGGGGAGGGGAAGAGGAGCAACTGTTCCTATCAATACTCATTCAGGTACCAGGAATCTATACACAAAAGTCTACATGATCCGGGCAGCTCAAGCCAGACTTAAATTTCTTGACACATCTCACCTTGAGAGGTATTGTCTAGGTCCCTTCAAGGTGAATCTGGATGGATTTATGGATGGTTTTCTTAGGATGCTTGCTACAGGAGAAGCCGTCGCTACATAAGATGTCCTACTCTCTCAGCTGTCATGCTGCAGAGGTTACCGATGGGTGCTCCAATCTACAGCCCCAGCCGAACCCCCAGCGAGCATCTCTTGCATCACCTGCAGCCCTGTGAGAAGCCACGTTGGATCTCCAATCCGATCAAATCTTCAGAAGACTGCAGCTTAGCCAAACCTGCCCGAAAGAAAAATCTAGAACAAAATAAAGTAGTTGTTTTAAGCCACTAACTTTTGGAGGCAGTTTGTCACTCGCCATAGATGTCACCAGAACAGATGAGTGAGTACCTGGGCCCATGTTGTAGTAGAAAGTGTGCCTTGTCTAAAAGGACCGTCATTACTCAGCTCACGCCAAGTGCTATGCTTGAGGGGTTCAGGTCTGGGATGGCCATCTGTGATCTAACAAAGAGATGTTAGATGTGGAATTTTGTAACATCTCCAAATGTTGTAGCTATCAGTTACTAACTAAAAAATTTTGAAAACACCATGTATATCACATAAACCTGTCTGTGTGCCGATAAAACTTGTGTGCTACCAGCATGCCACCTCTATTGTGTTTAGAAAAAGAGAGAGCCTGCTTGCCCCACCCTACCCAAGGCCTCTTGTAAATTGGGGCTATCTGCCCAGCTAGCGGCCTCCAGCCAGCAGGGTGCTTCCCTATAATGCATTAGCATATGAAAACTAGCATTTCAGTAAGGTTTGTACATTCCCACATCTAAACCAAACAAACTGCCTCTTGTTTCACCAATGATTGGGGCTCTGACCCATTTAAGCCTGACAGCAAAATAGGGATTAGCAGGGGGTGTTGTTAGTGGTGTTTTGATTGGGAAGGGATGAGAGAAGTTGGAAGGAGAATGAGGGGAGGAGGGACAATGAAGGAGAACTTCCTGGAGGACAAAAGTTCACCAGTTTTCCCTTGAAATTAATTTAAGGGCAATGACATCAACAAAAAGTGCTGTGAATTAAGTGTTTTTAAAAAAACAGCCCTATTTATTATTTTTGGCTTTTGCTGGGAATATTTGCTCTGGGCCCTAAAGGAATTCACCTTTAACTGTGGAGGATAGAATTGCATATCATTCTTTATCCACTTCTTGTGGACTTTCTGCAGGATGTGGGTGAGGCAGAAGACAGTGCTGGGCTGACACAGACGTTCTCTGTGCCAAGGACCAGGGGACCTTTGTGGCCTATGAGTGGAGGACCTAAAAAGTGGAAACAGGTGAGAATTGCAAAGCCAGAGTACGTGCAGTCATGCAGGGAGAAAGGCAGCCCTAGGTGGGGACAGCTTATCAAAGAGCAGAAGTGTCACTGGCCATTGGGGTGTCTGTGGCCTTAGTTTTCATGGATGGAATGAATAAATATATGCATATTCCCCAAAGTGCTCTGATATAAAAAAGGTGTTCTATAGCATATTTAAAAACTATTAATGTTTTATCTTTTTGAATTAATTTTGAAATGGTCCAAAAGGTGAATAGTGAAATGTTTCTCTCCTACCCCAGTACCCTCATCTTGCTTTATGCCTCCATATAATCAGCCTAATCTAGTATTTGTGTATTTTCCCAGAGATACTTATGCATATACACAGTAGAAAAACTATTTTCTTTCATTCAAGTGGAAGGAGACTATGCTTATCTGTTTTCTCAAGGCTCTATGACCTAAAAAACATTCCATATTTCCATAGATGTTCATGAATGTGCCTTCATTCTTTTGTACAGCTGCACAGTACTTTGTTTTATAGGTATATCATAATTTATTTAACTAGTGCTCTCTTGTTGGACAAGCACATTGTCTCTATAGTAATTTCCTTATGAAATAATTAAGAGTAAGTTCTGTGGTATGTGTACAAGTAAAAATTAATCTGTGACATATAAGTGATTAGTCAGCATTTAAAATAGCCTGATACCATGGCTAATTCATGTCAATGTATGACAAAAACCACTACAATATTGTAAAGTAATTAGCCTCCAACTAATAAAAATAAATGAAAAAAAAAGAAAAAGCCTGATTGAATACTTAGAAGAACTTCAAATATCCTTATTGAAATCTACATCAGAGAGTTTGTTAATTAGCATATGGGATGAAATGAGTGGAGTTGAAAATAGATGGTTAGTTAGGAAGATCATATATAGCTCCTGTTCTTACAGACTGTCTGCCCGCCTATCTGACTGACTGAATATCTGACCAACTATTTGTTGACTGACTGACTAATTATCTGAGTATCTTACTTAATGATGGGTTGTCTGACTGGTTTGGATAATCAGAGAAGTAATACGTTGCAGAGGAACTTGAGGCATCTCATTGGGGTTGGAGTCTCCTTTTTAGCTTCTATGCTATCTATCCATTTATTGGAAGCTTTTTTAAAAAAATAATTCTAGTAAAAAGTCAACAGCCCCTGTGAAAAAGAAATAAACACCACCAAAAGAAAACTAGTTCCTGAGTTGTTCCTAATAGGTTTATGGTGTATGCAGAAGGCTGATCAAGCAAGAACAAAACAACTTTTAAACCCTCAAACTTTCTTAAACCAAGTTTCAGATCTCAGTCAGCTTCAGTTGCCTGCCAATAGGAATTCTCTGAGGCAAATCCATGATGTAAGAAAATTTCTTTCCCATGAACTTTCCCTCTGGTGGAGACCCTTTATCATCTTTCAGCTCAACAAGGCCTTGCCCCTTCACCTCTTTCCTCTCTCAAAACAGAGCAAGATCTGATAACTAGTCACTGACTTTTGTTCACTGATGGATTATATTTGGCGTGGAACTCATATTCATCAACACCTTGTCTGAAATAAGCTTGTGAAAGTGAAGACTTTTAGCTATAATTATGGGATGAAAAGTGTTTCATTCAAGTCAAAAGAATTTCAAGCATCAGCAAACAGGAAGGGAAAGGTGAAGGTCTATTCAACCACCTCTGAATGTGGTCCTGATTTGTCTTCTTTTGGGGGACGTTTTTCCCCATAAGAAACTTCTGCCACCACTGTGAAGAATAATTCAGGGGCCAGCAGAGACAAAGGTGTCAGAGGTCAAGCACAGGGATTGTTTGGAATAGAACTGTCAGTGGCTTCTAGAACCTTCTGTAACTGTGCAACTCAGATTTGGTAATTGAACCCACATGCTTCCCAGGCAGTACTGGTGGTAAAGAACCCAGCTGCCAATGCAAGAGATGTAAGACACTTGGGTTCAATTCCTGGATTGGGAAGATCCTTTGGAATAGGGTATGGCAACCCACTCCAGTATTCTTGCCCAGAGAATCCCATGGACACAGGAGCCTGGCGGGGTACAGTTCATAGGGTTGCAAAGGGTCAGACATGACTGAAGTGACTTAGCAGGCATGTTGGGACTCAAACCAGTCCAAACCCAGGTTAGGACTTGAACAACACAAGTCTTTTTAACTGAGATCACACACTTGCCCTCAAAACTTAATGAAGCTCAGGTTCTTGATGTCTCATTGCAGGCAGAATTCAGTGAGAGACAAAGTTATAGGTAAGAAGTGGATTTATTTAGACAGAAACACACTCTACAGAGTGTGGGCCATCTCAGAAGACCAGAGGAGTGCCAGTGTATGGGGTTGTCAGTTTTTATAGGGCTGGGTAATGTCATAGGCTAATGAGTGGGAGGAGTATTTCAGCTATTTTGAGGAAGGAGTAGAGATTACCAGGAATTAAGCCTCGGCCCACTTTTGACCATTATGGTTAGCCTTGGAACTGTCATGGTACCTATGGGTGTGTCATTTAGCTTACTATTGTATTACAGTGAGTGTGTATTGAGGCTCAGGGTGTAGTGGAAGTCATCTTGTCTACCATCTTGGACCTATTTGGTTCTTATCCATTTATGTCATGTCCTTGGGCTTTGTCCTTAAAGGGAGGGGATATATGTACACCTATGGCTGATTCAGGAGAAGGCAATGGCACCCCACTCCAGTACTCTTACCTGGAAAATCCCATGGATGGAGGAGCCTGGTGGGCTGCAGTCCATGGGGTCGCGAAGAGTCGGACACGACTGAGTGACTTCACTTTCACTTTTTACTTTCCTTCATTGGAGAAGGAAATGGCAGCCCACTCCAGTGTTCTTGCCTGGAGAATCCCAGGGATGGCAGAGCCTGGTGGGCTGCCGTCTATGGGGTCGCACAGAGTCGGACACGACTGAAGCGACTCAGNTGGGACTTCATGGACTGTAGCCCACTAGGCTCCTCTGTCCATGGGATTTCCCAGGCAAGAACACTGGAGTAGATTGCAATTTCATTCTCTATTATCCTCATTTTACCTGTGAGGAAATTATACTTGGCTCTTTATCTTTCCAAGACTACCTAGCTGGTAAGATGTAGAGCCAGTATTTGAGCCCAGTTCTGCCTAACTTGCAAGTCAGCTCTTTCCATTAGAGCATGACAGCAAAAAAGGCCCCTTTTTTTTTCTCCCAGGACTTTCGTATCTATAACTACTCAAAGAGATAGCGATCAATTCTAATGATAGGCTGAAAACTATAGGACTTGTCTGAACATAGGACTGAGTATCTGTTGCTTACCTTTATTTAAAATAAGCTATTTAAAAAATTTTATTATCTTCCACTTTTTTCACAGTCCAAAATTTTCTACAAGGAGCATTTTCAGTAATATCCTGTTTATGATAGTTTTTACTTTTGCCAGAGGCTGGCAAAAAAAATACCAGTAGACCGAGTAGGTCGTATTACTTTTAAAGCAATAATTACTAATCTAGAAACAAATGAGAGAAAAGTCTTTAATAGAAACAACAACAACGACAACAACAAAAAAACATGAACTCTTGTCCTGTCTTGGTGGACATATGTTTTAGGGAGTAGGTTAAAAGTTTACCATAATACACTTTGGTTATCTGTTCAATTTCAAATCCAGGATCGATAAAGCTTATCAGAGCATTTTTATGACTCCGGGGAGGTTATCGCTATCTTAATATAGTGATGAAGACAAAAACCAGACCTCAGGGGAGGTCAGAACTGAGCAATCAAATTAACATCTGTCAGGAATGACTTGGTCCAACCTTCAAGGTCAACATATTCACAGATGCCAAAGTGTCTAAATGGAGAGATGATAATCATTGACCCTGAAACCTTCTGGGGCTTGGCAGGCAGCTGTGGGGGAGATAAGAAGCTTTCTGTTGAGATAACAAATACATGTTCAAATGTAACGTCCTTATTTTTCCTTTTGTGAAATTAGAGGAAATGCCAAAACCAAGTCTCAGTTAACCAGAGTCCTGTTGGATGGAGATAAGGCAGATCATTGAGGGCCTCCTTCTTCACAAACACTTTCTCCAGAAATATAACTTAGGGTCCTTGACACATATGAGTTCCATGATCTTTCATTTATGTATTAGCCCTCAAGAGGGCTGGGAAAGAGGTGGGCAGTCAGAAAAAGAGGAAAGTAAAGAGCTTTGATGTGGCTACTTCATGGAGGAATAAGTGAAGTTTGCAAAGAAAAACTTCAAATTTCATATAGTTTCGGTATGCCATCACTAACTAGTTAATTTCTTAACAAGGTCTATAAACTGAAAAATTTTCCTGCATCAGATCAGAAATTGAGTTTCTAATTTTAATATGAACATGAAATTGAATTTATTAAATACAAACACTTAATAGAATTGACAACTGTGTCATTTACGGCTTACAATTTTATGACCTAAATGAATACTATCTACAAATAGTACAAACTCCTGTGGAAAGCAGCATTATCTATTCTGTGCCTCAATATATTTCCAATGCCTAGAGAGGCAGAGAGGCATATCATCTTTGTCTCCATCTTAAAGTCCCCTGGTGCATTTTCTCTCATTTTCTCAAGTGAAGCAAACAGGTCACCAGGAATATTATAAACTTTCTTGATGGCAAGCACACTTTGACAAGGAGATAAACTGCACTAGAGACTCCGGTCCTCAGGGACTCCTTTAAAGAAGTTCTGATTTGTTGTGAGTGAAAATCAGGCCCTATGAAAATTTTTTTTTGTGGAAGAATCAGCCACTATTTTACTCATTCATGATATATTGGTGCCAATCAAGACTGACTTGTAACTTGATATTGTACCAGCCAAGACTGACTTGACTTTCAACTGTGAATGCATGACCCAAGGTCATGTAGTGACAGCTCCATATACACACTGGCCACGAAACAATGGGGATTGTGAAACACAGGTAGACAAGAAACTATCACTTCAGCCCCATGAGTGATAATAAGAAAGTAGTGCTGCCTAGATATTAAAAGGACCACAGCAAAGTAGAAAAAATAATTGCAATCAGCAAACAGTAACTGGCTGTCTCTATAAGACTTGGCCAGAGTCTTGTGGTCTACCTGGGAGAGACAGCATGAAGTAGGGGAAAGAGCCCTAGCATTGGACAGGATGGGAGAACTGGATTCAGGTGCTATTTCTGTCACTTACCAACTGTGTTACTGTGAGGAATTTGGTTAAGCCATCTAATTCTGGATTATTTATCTCTATAGCATTAATTCTTCCAAAGGGAGATATTGTTACTCAAAATAAAACACCCAAGGAAAGATACTTTGTCATCTCTCAGCTATTAGCCTATAAATTATCCATAAGGCAGACTTCCTAATATACTTTTCAATCTGAAATTGGCTTCTCCTATTGCTACTGGGATATTTCCAAGCAAGATCCCCTTGCCAAACGGCCAGTATGTTTATGGGAATAAATAGTTAGCTGAATTCTTATACTCTCACTCTTCAAGGAGAAAAAGCACACCTTTCAAACTGTGTGGGGAGAAACCTTCCAGTGGCCTCTCTTTTCTTAACCTGAATTAAGCATTCCTGGTCCTACAAAAAGCCTTTAAAGACCTGCTTCTGCTAATTCCTATCACCACAGACTCTAATAATAATGAGGATAATAATAATGCTGTTCATAATAACATTGCAATTAGGTCTCTGGCTCCCCAAAAAGCTCAGACTTTTGTTTACAAGTAGATACTGGCTTCCTTTAACCCCGTTTTCCAAGATTGCTTTAACTGTTGTATTGATATGTTTCATGATGGGGTTAGGAGCTAACCCAAGATTTGATAAGAGTTAGTATATCTTTGGCAAATATTCTTATTAGAAAAAGATCTCTGTAAAATTTCACTTTGCTGACAAAGGTCTGTACAGTCAAAGCTATGGCATTTCCAGTAGTCATGTATGGATGTGAGAGTTGGACTATAATGAAAACTGAGCACTGAAGAATTGTTGCTTTTGAACTGTGGTGCTGGAGAAGACTTTTGAGAGTCCCTTGGACAGCAAGGAGATCAACCCAGTCAATCCCAAAGGAAATCAATCCTGAAATATTCACTGGAAAGACTGGTGCTGAAGCTGAATCCCCAATACTTTGGCTACCTGATGTAAAGAGCTAACTCATTGGAAAACACCCTGATGCTGGGAAAGACTGAGGGCAGGAGGAGAAGGGGCACCAGAGGCTAGATGGTTGAATGGCATTACCAACTCGATGGACATGAGCTTGAGCAAACTCCGGGAGATAGAAGGATAGAGAAGGACAGGGAAGCCTGGCATGCTGCAGTTTATGTGGTTGCAAAGTGTCAGACATGACTTAGCCACTCAACAACAACAAAATATGACAATTCTTGGTATAAATGCCTTTTGTTAATTAGAAACCTAAGATTTTTATCAAGCTGTTAAATTAAAAGTGGGAATTGGATAAAAAATCAAATCGATTTCATATCCAAGAAACGGTGTGTTGGGCCATATTTTCCTCTCGACTTTTCCCATCATGCATTTCCCTACTTGCATATCAGTAGGCATTTTACAAATTTCTTTTTAGAACATCTACCTTGCTGAGCGAAATAGCAGGTAAATGAGGGACTAATCTATTGAGCATTAACCATATGCCAGTTTCTTTGGTGTAAGGATCAATTTCCTCACCTGCAAAATATTTTAGGATAATAGTTTATGCATTTTCAAGTTTAGTGTGAACATTAACTAAGATCCCCCTCGTGAATCTAGTAAGTCAAGTTTATCCTGAGGGC